CCGTTAAAAGTCCATGGTGATGGACTTAGGGGTTCACTGTATTCGGTAGTGAATTCGGCCAGGCCTTGTAACAGAGGCTAGGCTGAACCCATGTGGTTGATGTGTAGATTAATGATAGGGTCCCACACCATACAAAGAGAACCAAGCTATCCAACATTAAAAGGAAGTGAGTATAAAAGCTTAATGGGCCTAAAGCCCATTTCGAACTGGGTTAATTGGATTAATTAAAAATGGGCAAATTTGGCTATGGATCAGTAGATAAGGATAAGATGATAACTCCTATCCACTTAAAGAGTCCATATCCAAATAGAGATTTGGATCAAGGAAATCCTAATTTGATTAAGAAAAGCTGATCTTGATATGCAAATAAGATAATGGATTATTCTTATCACTTAAAGAGTTCATATCCAAATAAAGATTTGGATCAAGAGAATCCTAATCAGATTAGGAGGTTGTCTCTTTATGGCTATAAATAGAGAGTAGGGCGGATCTGAAAAACACACACAACACAGAAGACAACTCAGTTTGATTGTTTCTGCCTTTAGTTCTTTCTCTCCCTGCTCTTACAACCCTACCCTGTTCGATCTCCATTTCTTGGAACTGACCAAGATTGGATCTTGGTATTGTTTCTTGCTAGAAGAAACAATTCTGAAGTTGTGCTCACTACCCCATTCGATTCTCGTTGAATAATCACAAGTTCTTAGTGAAGAATTACCTGCTGATCTTGCCTCATCCTAAGCTGTGTCATCTTCAGTAGAGGGAGGATTTGGTACACTCTTTGGGCGTGAACACCTGCGTTGGGAGGAGCATTTTTGCATGGATTTCGTATCAGGTATATTTCTCCCTAATCTTGGTTTTAGATTTGGTCTGATTTGGTTACAAGAATGAACATTAAAAATGCAGTTTTCTAAATTGGGAATACGATTCCCGAATGGGAATTTAAAATTTCGCCCAACCTTCCTGCAGGGTCCAACCATCCATATGATGGATCTCCCATCCCTTCAAAGAAGAGTTGCAGTAGAAGATGATGAAACCCACATGGTTCTTGCATAAATATATTTTCCATTCCTGTGGAAAAATAGACCTCCATAAACTCTATTTGGACATCAGCTACTTGTTAGTCCTCAAAAATGTGCTTGAGATTTCTATTAATATTTGGGGGATGTTCTGTTTTTGGATTTCGAGAGAGGAAAAGTTGGTTATTTGGATTTTGGTTCCCATTGACCACGAAACCTATGTTCTTTTTTTTTTAGATTTATGTGGGGATGAGGAAAACTTTATTTCCTTGGGTATCACTTACCTTATCTGGTGGGTGAATAACTTTCCCACCTAGGGGGATGAGGGAAACTTTGTTTCTGGTTTATTTTTTAACATTAATATAAACAAAATATTAGGTCATTAGCTTTGAGCCAAGGACCCATCAGTGGTTAGTGCAAGTCCACTGATGGACTAATGTATCATGTAGATAGACCCTGTTGAGAGAGAACTCGGATTCAGTATTCATAAAATGGTGCTCATATTGTTCTTGCAGCCACTCGTAACTGTGTATTGGAAATATCTCAGTATTTAAATATTTTTATTCATAAAGAGATGTTCTCAATGCACAGCTGCAAGTAACTGTAAATATGTGTGTACACTGTTTTGTGAGGACTAAATCCATGTCGTTGAGAGCCCAGGCTGTCAAATATGAACAGCCAAAATTTTCTCGCCTACTCATGTTAATGGACTCTGAAAGGCCGAAGCCTAATCCAGCATGCAATTCGATTATTTCATATTCGAATGATCTGGATCAAATTCAGATTTTATAACCTACATCTAATTAATAATTGGATTAAACGCGGATTCGTCTCCATATGATCCAATTAACGTTCAAGTTTGATAATATAATTTTATAAATAATAAATTCAATATTTTATATTTATATAATTTTATTATATATATAATTAATATTTTAACATTTTCATTATTTTAAAGAAATTTAAAACGGATTCGGATTAAATCCAAATCCCACCTACCAAATCCAATCCGAGCCCAGCGTGGTTCATCTGAAAGGCTAGAAATAGGATGGTCTAACAGGGTATCGTCATCCTGAATCATGTTGCAGAGCTGTTTCTGTAGCCCTCAGTCCAGGATCCACTGGATCAGCCTAAGAGACAAACCCTGCCGGCTGAGAGCCTGAGAATCTGAGTTTTCCCACGGACCACGACCCACCTATCCGATTCTTTGTGATGCTGTGCTCACTTCTGCATGTAGTAGTGCAGGAATTGTTTGTATTTGGTCTAGCAGGCCCCAGCATTCAAATCAGGGCAGTGGGCAAGGCGGAAAGTTGTGGGCACATGAAGGTGAGCTAAAACCCATTATTAGGTTGGCCCTGTTTGAAGCTAGTTAGTTTGGGCCTTCGGATTCTCAGATGCCAAGCCGCGATCTATCTTACCTTACCTCGGGGCCAATGGGCTGATTTTACCCCTTACCCACTATGCAGAGAATGTTACGCGAGCCCACTCAATTTTGCTATCGGTCACGGTCCTCACGGACCTCACGGAGTGCTGCAAATTTCTCCTCCACCGATTCAGCCCACAGGTGGATTAGTTCCAAACTTAATGCCATTTATGAGGCTTTATTCCTGCCATAAATGTTGAGGCTTTTATAAGTTCAGAGAATAAGGGCCAACTTTTGGCCCTTTGCTACTTCGATAAAATTACCCTTTTACCCCTAAAAGAAAACGAAAAATCTAATCCGAGAGATTTATGGTTCGTTTGGTTTGCAGGAATAGAAGTCTAGAATTGGAATCTAAATGTTTGGTTGGGTTGAATGGAATCTCATTTTCATTTTTGGTGGAATGGAATTCCCGCTTTAAGGGAATGGTCATTCCCTCCTCTCTTGGGAATGAAAACCATTCCAGCTAATTCCAATTCCCGTCTGAAAAAAACAAACATTGGGGATAGACCATTCTGGTTATGATTCTGACAGATTTTGATTTTACTTCTAACTGTGAACTAAAAAGACTCTTAGTCAAGGTTTTATAAACCGACCGGAAACATAACTGTTCTGGCCACCAGTTTCTGGGTCAGTGGTTCGACTGTCCGGGTCAAATGGTTCAAACGGTTTAAATATTGTAAATAGTGATATGTCATCTTACCCATTAGATTGGAATATTAGGGTAAGATGCATATAAATACAAGAGAAAAAAGGTTTGATTGTTTGAGAATGAGGGAGATGTGAGAAGCTACCGATGGCTGAGAGAGTTTAACAGAAGAAGAAGAAGAAGAAGAAGAAGAAGAAGAAGAAGAAGAAGAGGAAAAAGAGGTAACTTGCAAGAGCGGCGACAACGATGTCAAACTATAGCGGCAACAATGAAAGTAAATGTGCGATTTCTCTCAATCTCAGATCTTTCTCTCTCTCTCTCTCTTTCCCAGATCTGTCATCTAGACTCTAGCCTACTCTCCCAGATCTCTCAGGCCTCTCTCACTGTCTCACACATCCCTTAACTGATCTCTCTCTCTCTCCAGTAGATCTCAGATCTGAGAGATCTTCTCTTTTCATTCTTGCTCTTACTTAATAAGCCACAAACCGTCATTCGGGTCGAATGGTTCAACGATCAAACCATCTGGATCAATAATTCGTTGACTAATTCAATGGTTTTTGACCAAAAACCAGATTTGGGGTAAAACGGAACTGGTCGCCTGAATGATTTCCAGTCCGACCGTTTGGGTCAACGACGGTTCAAAAACTTTGCTCTTAGTCCTATTAGATTTTATTGCAGTAGCAATAACATTACCGTATTCCTCCTCCATCCCCATCATCTAAGTCTTGCCACCATTATAAGTGATTAACTAATTTCTCTTAATCCTATCCAATTCACTCTAGCTCTTCTATTCCCTTCAACAAAGCACTATTGTTTTATTGCAACTTAAATATTATTTCTTCTTTTTTATCTAAGATGTGGAAAAGATATGGTATGGAAAGAATTTTGACCAATCATTGCGCACTGTCACAGTGTTTTGATTTTCCAGAGGTTGAGTCGAGTACCTGATCCCAAGAATATACTTGCATTTCAGTGAAAGATGGGTCCGGATGTAGTAGACATGTTGTGTAAGCACAATGAATGAGCATCTAATAACTGTGTGACACATTTCTCAATTGATTTCTATCTAACGAAAAAAAAAATGTTTGGATGAAATGCACATTAACTAAGATATGTATCACCCAGCTATTACATACTCACTCATTGTGCTAACATAATGTGCCTATTACATGAGGGCCCGTGAAAGACCACCCAAGTTGCACCCTACTTGTAAAGGGAAACCTGTCAACAGATCTAATAGGATTAGGTAAAAGATACAATCTCTACTACAGATCTAATAGGATTAGGTAAAAGATACAATCTCTACCGGTAAGCAGTAGCCATATTTGAATTTGACCCTTGCTTCATTTTCATGGACTGCATATTTTGACTTATTCTTTATTAATGAACATTTCCTGACTAAGTTATCTTTGCATTTCATTTAATTAAAGTGTGATCTTTTCTATTCTAGCCCGGTCCTACCCTAGCTACCCAGCCCAAAATTTTTGGGCTTGGCCCAGATTTTGTGTCTCAGGCCTAGTCAGTGCCCCACATCAGGTCTGTCCTGGTCCACAATACATTTATATATATACACACCATATTATCATATAAAATAATATATATTTTATAACATATAATGCATATCATTTATTTTTACATATATTATATATTATTATTTCACAACTTAAAATGTAAAATATTATACATGCTTAATATAATGTTTCAGAAGTCATTGGCCGAGTGAGAACCCGGCCCGGCTCATGATCACCTCGGTTTTAATCCCTTCTTCTCTTGTAGGTAATCCGAAATTGGAAGAAGCATGTTTTTCTTTTTCTTTCTTCCTTTTTTTTTAACCTCTTCTTTATTCCATTATTCATCCAAACAGAATAAGATAAATAGTTCAAATGAATTGAAGTTTGGAGACCGTCACCCAGAATCTTATTTGCATGCTTTACTACTCCCAACAAAAAGAGGGAAAATGGAATAGCAGAAAAGAAATACAAATTAGAAGTAAACCAAAGATCTAAAGGGAGGAACAAAAGGTAGCTGGGGTAGTTAAATTAAACTAGGTATATTGATGCTGTCTCCCTTTAATAAATTTGTTGGAAGGAATGGAATTTTTGTATACAAAGTATATGAATCCTCTTTCCCTTGGGAAGATGCCAACAACAACGGGTAACCGAAAGGCTCATTGAGACTGACTTGTGATTAACAACAATTAATTTGTACAGTCACAGAATGATTTTTTTTTTCTTTTTTCTTTCTTTGATACTGGACGCGTCAAGGAATATAGATATCCACAGCAACGCCAACGCGTAGAGTATTGTATAAGCAAGTATCAGCAAATACTAATGGGCATTTAATCTTCATTATCCACTTCATCAAAGGGAAGGGGCACTATCTTGACAGCCCTGAACTTCCCAGCATTATTCAAATGCTCATTCTCCAACCTGTACAATATTCTTGTTTATCAGATCAAGCAGGAATTGAAATACAGAAAGAGAGAGAGAGAGAAGTAGGTTTCATATATTTTGATTATTTCGAATAATGGTATGAGAATGTGTGCTTAATTTGCTGCAACAGTTTTACCTGTAGAAATTCCATTGCCCACGTCGAATCACCTCAAGGGCAGCGAGAAAGAGCCCAGTGACCCTATAGTCTACGCTCCCAAAGTTGGAATGGAGAACAGTTTGTATCCAAGCAAGCCTTAGAACAAGGTTGAGACCCTATATGTAGTACACAAAATAAACCATTATAGTTTCAACATTTATATATATGAATGAGAAAAGAAAACTTGGGTTTTAAGTTGAATGAATTGCTTTTTTGCTTTTGATTGGCCTGATGACCGCACAACTTGAATTAATTGCTTTCCTACTCAGTAAATCATCTAAGAAGATGACAGTACGTGGGTGTTAATTATATTGCATGCCAACCATTTTATCAACATAATATAGCCCCTTTATTTGGGTGGATTGTTGATGTTTCACAACTTTATTTATTGGATAAAGAAGCCAGTCTGATTCATCGATCCTTTTGGACAAGATCATTTGATGATATCTTGCTTTTCCAAAGATATATAAATGGATCTGCCAAATGTATTTGCACAAATGGGTGCCAATTGTGCCTGCTGGCCGGTAGAGGAATTGTTTGAGGAGGCCGGAGGTAATTGGTAGTAGTGTATATAGAGGATATATAGGGAGAGATGTACCATTGATAAGAAGTAAATAATCTTTCGTCGGAGCACCAATTCATTCCTTAGCCAGGGGTTTTTGGAGTGGAACTGGAGCAAACCCCAATCCTTTACAAAGTCCCAGTACAATTGGTATACAGTTGCAGCACTTGACACCACCACAACTAGACAGAGATATCCAATGCTCCCTTCTTTCTCATATGCCACTTTGGCACCCGCTGCCAGCATGGCTGACACATATTTGCCTAGATTGATAAGGTGGCTTATCTGTCCTTCATCAAAATATCTCCTAGCACACTGCACTCCCAAGGAGAAGCAAATTAAAATTCAAGTCCCAATTAGAATTGATTTAACCAATGGAATTCAAACATTAGAAGCAGCAACAGTCAGGAGATTAGCAATAAATGAACCTGCATGGCTCTCCAGTAGTAAGGCAGAAAGGAAACAGCATAAGCCATATCTCTGTAATGCTTGGTCCTCATGCAAAATCCATAGTCCTGAGTTTTATAGCTTCCAGTTATGTAGTAACATGCAACATACTCCAGGTTCCTGAGCAGGGGCACCTGTTTCAATAATGGATGCTAATTTGTTTTAATAATTGGCTTTGCTTGGCTGGTTATGGTTTGGGTAATAACTAAAGATCATTAAGCCTCTACCAAAAATTAAATTAAAAAAAAATATCACTAGACATATATACCTGACTACAAAGTTGATCAGCCATGAAGAAGTCCAACATGACAACCTGCACATGAAGTGTAACAAAATCTTAGAAAAAAAAAATAATTTAACTAGAAAATGAAATTTCAATTCAATTTATCTATTCATTTTCTTCTATGACCCTAATCTTCTTGAAGATGATCTTACCTTGTAAAGAGGTGACAAAATGATATTCCTTATCACCCGGAGGAAACGAAAACGGCTTGATCGATAGAAGATATTGAAAGGACAGACTAGCAATATCAAAAAAATCTGTAAAAATAAAAAAAAAAAGTATTAGGATTTTAATCTTCTTTAAGTTTATATAAACAAGTGCCCATTGTGGTCAATAAATAAATCAGCAAAAAAGGAATTGCCTTTCTCTTTTGTGTCATGTAGAAGAAGAAGAAGAAGAAGAAGAAGAAGAAGAAGAAGAAGAAGAAGAAGAAGAAGAAGAATTACTAGTAACAAAAAGCCGGGTATTGCTTGAACTCGGGTCGATGAGTACCCTTTTGCAATAAGGAACAAGTGAACAAACATAATCCCCACTACTATAGTCATTGATGTGGTGCAGATCAAGAACACATCTCTGTATTTCAGCTCTTTTGTGGGGGCCAATTCAAATATGAAGCTGTAGTTTATACGGGTCTTTCTCCACATGAAAATATTACAACCATACAAAAAGAAGTGCAGAAATAATAGGCTGAACATGCTGCAAACAGGGAGTCCAAAAGTGTAACGGAGGACACATTAGTTATGTATTATTACTTGCAATAATGTTCATTTGAAAAAAAAAACATAAAGAATTAATTGCAGTGAAGGAAACTCACCTAAGCACAGGATAAACAGTTTCCATGTATATTGTATCAGATTCCTGGGTGTACATCTTGGTGATATGAGCCATTATGACATATCCGACAAAGAGGGCTATAAAACATCCAGTAAAGAGGCCTGAATGGGAAATGTAAAAATGAGAGTTAGAACTATTGCCTTGGAAATATTTGAGCTTGCTTCACTTTTCTTTTTTTTTTTTATTTTTGTTGTTTATCAATTATTTATTTTTGTTTTCTAGACTAATTCATTATTCATTCACTAGAGACATAGCATCATGTATGGGTGGGTAAATGGGTAGGTTCTACCCAGAACCGAATGGAACTGACTTCGAATCAGCCTTGAACCAACTCTACCCAATCTGCTACAGGGTAGGATTTGGTTCCAAATTCTTGGAACCGATCCTCACCCAAGTCGGTTCTAGGGTCTAGGGATTTATCATACCCAAACTGAATTTGCCTTGAAATAAACCCCAAAATATTTTTAAGGATGTAAAGATTTGAGCATAATCACTCATGGTTAGAAAAGCCATGGTCTCACTTAACCATCAAGTTACTTAAGTGGTTTGATTATTTGTTTTCATTTTAATATTTGTATGCGTATAATAAATAATGTAAAAGGTAATATTTACAAAATTTAAATCATAATGACAAATTTTCAACCGTATATTAATATATTATGGTAATCTATATTTTAAATTACTTAATTTAATCAATAAAGATAATACAAATTTTAAATAATATATTATCATTATTAAAAATCAAGTTTTTAATTTGAAGAACATGTTTCATTTTTTTCTTGAAGAGAGAGAGTAAAAAAAGAATAGGTTCCACGGGTAGATCCTGGAACCAACCCCAAAACCGCCAAGACTAGAACCAACCTTGGAACCGACTTTCACTAAATAGGTTCCAGTTCCAAAAACCCAAAACCAACCCTTAGAGGATAGGTTTCAGGTTCTTCTATAATACCGAACCGACCCATGCTCACCCCTACCATCGGGTGTGTCAGTCGGCTTGGATTAATGGGCATATATGGGCTCCCAAGTTACAAACCCCTACAGGGTAGGGTCGGGATTTTGGGTCTCCAAACCATTTAATGGTCTAATATATATAGTCCCTTCAGCTTTATAATCCACTAATAATGTGGACCAAGTCGGGTCTTTTCAGGCAAGGGGCTTGTGGGTCCCTATTGGCATTGTTACAAAGTGAACCATCTCTCACGAGCTAGCCCCAAACCTCTCCACTAAAAGGAATAATTCAAAAAGGTTGTTAGGAATTAAAGGAGTATTTTATTTTTCTATCTCTAATAACTATTCTTCTCTATATGATCATTTTAAAATAGTTAAAGCACATTCGATTTGATAGAAACAATGAAGCAAAAAAATTGATTAGTTGAAGAAACAACAGATAAAACAAAAGCAAAATATTCCTTGTCAAAGAATTCTTAATTTATCAGAAACAAAATAATTCTTTAAAAATTACTTAGACAAAGATTTTTTTACCAATGAAGAAGGTCACAGCGTGGGATTCTTTGCGCTGGTGTGGTTTAAGAAACTTCATGGCTTTTCTTTTGTCGTCTTCAGCGAAGTGTTCGATAAACAGCTCCTCAACTTCATCAGCTAACTTGACTACCTTTCATGGCATACTGAGTTTTGTTAACTATATGAAAAAAGAAATATATGTTTTGAGACATGCAAATCCCTGTATACACCTGGAGACACCATGTCGAGTCCTGCTGCACTTTTTTTTTCCTGCACATATAATGGGACACCCATTGAAGACCGAATGGATGTACAGGGAAAAAAGTGCAGCGCAGATCCCCACTATACCATGTCCCGCCACACGCAACATGTTCAATCATCAAGTGATAGTAACATGTTCATGATTATCTGATGTAAACTTGTTCTTCTTTTCTCCTTTTATTTTCAGAATTTTCTTTCTATTTTGATTGTGGGTATAGTTCTATATGCATGTTGGACACGAATCAGAATTAAGGAATTAATTTACCTTGTCTGAGCTGTTGAAATAGGAGCTCTCCACCACTTTGAGATAAATGGGTAGAACTTGTTTCTCAGTAACCTGGAAGAACACAATAGATTTTGTTAATTATAAACTTAAATCCCGAATCACTCCTTTCCATGACAATAATTTTAGTTAGTAGTGACCTACTTTATCAAATTTCTTCAATATCTTTACAAAAGCAAGCATGTTCAAGTGTCTGCAACATCAAAATCACCACAATCAGAAAAGCTATTGGGTTTCTTTCTCTTTTTTCATTATTTGGTAGCTAAAGAGAGGTCAAACTTTTAACCTGTTAATAATTAAATTACCTGTAAGTTTTTAGGTACCCCAACCCTTTATAGAGCTCAGTGAAAGCTCCTCTGATCATCTTCTCGGCATGATGCAGCTTCTTTTTATTTATATGCAGTTTATTTGCTTCAGGGCAACCTTTCTTGGATTGGTTAATCAAATCATCCCAAACCAAGTAAGTAATCGCTGAGAGGGTACGAGTGGGAGTTGTTAGTGGGATGTTAATCCTCACATTCTTTCCCTGGCAAGTGATCACTCGACCAGAAATGCTCCTCATCTTCCCTTCTTCTCTTTTCATCTGAATTGACTTCTCAATCTCCTCTGACCGCGGTGATTCTGGGAATTCTACATCATTTATTCTGTCAAACTCCACTGTGGAGTTGTCCTGAAGTTGTTCTTGGTCTGTCACGTCCTTACCAGACTCTTCCTCTTTATCCAAAAAAACAATGAAACAGAAGAGATGTGTTTAGTAAAGGATCATCAATATATAGTAAAGCCACTGTTTTGTTCTACTTGTACAATTACAATGCCTGCACTACTTGTCGTCGATCTGTCGCTCTGTGTATGCATGGTTCAAACAATGAGGAAAAAAACAAAGAACTATATATACCACATGAGATTGTGCATGAGATAGAGGGATCATCCTTCGAGTCATCATCAGCAGAGGCGCCTTTAACTCGCTGTTGTTTGAGTGCGGCTTTGAGCTCAATGAGAATCTCCATCTGTTTCTTCAGTGACTCCCCTCTCTCCATGAATTCTTTCTCCTTGGTCCTGTAAAACTGGTTCACTTTGTTAAGCTGAAGGTCTAGTCGTGCGAAGAATTCCTTAGCAGCGTCAGTATCAGCGAACTTCTCCAGCAATTCGGTCTCGTACATGTCCCCCTTGCTAGCCGAAGAAGCCAGCTTCGTATGAACCTAATCGATCAATGACACAAAATTAACCACATTAAACTGTATTCATGTCATGGATATATACAAAGTTATATATACATACACAGAAGAAACAGAAGGATAGAGAGGAAGAGGGAGAATACTTGAATGGCTCCATGGTCTCTCTGATGGTGGCCATAGAAAGAGAACTTCTTTAGGGGGGAGAGAAGGATGTGAGATAAGGAGGCCTGTTGATGCTTGGAGGGGTTGGTGTTATTGTTAGGGGATGGGATTTTCCTGATATCCTTCTTGAGTTGCCAATAATCAACAAAAGCCTCTTTCCATTCAGGAACAAGCTGACCCTCAAACTGCTTAGAAAACTTCACCATCTTTAATTTTTTTTTTTCTCTTATTACTGTCTTATGACAGAGAGAGAATTGCAGACCTTGTAGATGGTTTGTATAGCCGTGTGGTATGTGGGGTGTCTTAATGGATAGCCCACGATCAGATTATTTATGGGGAACGAAAAGGAGAGTGATTGACGTTGCACGTACCGATGCCCGGCAGCACATACCAAAATATCCTTTGCGCTTGTATTGTCCTATACCTCATCCACTTGGATGACATGGTGGCTGGATTCGCCGGAAAATGACGCAACTGCCGCCGGTGGCTTCTGGGCTAAGATGTTCTCGTGGACAGTTGAGAAGCTAGACATCTAAAGTGGGTGGGAGAGGGACCACGTACAACTAAAAATGTGTATACAATTTGCCCTTTTCAAGTGCAAACTTATTGATTGCTATTGCTTTTTAACTTTTATCTTGTGGTGTGAGATTTGTGTAGTGGATTTAGCTCCGCTTGGTTGTGGTCATTTGAGAGAAAAGGCCGCTGGGATAATTTGAGTGGGTAAATAAAGCTTATTATTGGCTAATAGATACACGATTATACAAGCATCTGTTCTCATTAGACCAGCTTGACACCAATTAGATAGAGATAAGAACCTATCAATTATTATGTTCAAATATGTAGAGTGCAAAACCTTATATTTTTGCATTATTTGTATGTTTTTGCATTGTACATATTTACATTTGTACTAGGCTCAGTTTGGAAAGAGTAAATATACAAATATGTACAATCCAAACACATACAAAATACAAGGTTTTACAGTCTACAAATTTATATTTGTACTCTTTCCAAACTGAGCCTTAGTTTGGAAGGAGTATAAATACAAATACAAATATGTACAGTACAAATCTATACAAAATATAAGATTTTGCGCTCAACATATTTGTATTTGTACTCCTTCCAAATGGAGCCTAAGATTATTTTTGGAATAGACCTGTTCATGGGTCGGGCTTTCACTCTGCATTAACAAATTTTTTTAAGGCTCGAGCCCGAGCCGCTACTGAAGTGGTTGAATAGAGAGAGAGAAATTATAAAGAAAAAAAAATATTAATATATATATATTATATTTTATATTATATAAATGAGTTGGGTCAGGTCGGGCTCGGGCCGGGCTTTTATGACAAATCCCGAGCCCGACTTGACACAAAATCAGGCTTAGTGTTTTTTTGGGCTCGAGGTCAAGCTTGCGGACCTAATTACATGTCCAAGCCCGACCAGGGTGCGGGCCAGGCCATCGGGCTACCCAGCCCATGAACAGGTCTAATTTAGAAGGAATACAAATACAAATATGCATAATACAAATATATATAAAATAATACAAAATACAAGGTTTTACACTCTACAAATTTATACTCAACCTTCTCTTTTCTTGCATTGAGATTTTTGTTTCCACAAGCCAAATGACAAATGAGCGAATAGGCAAACCTTCAGGTCTTTCTTTCTGGGTTGGGGTGATGGTGGGGTACGTGTTTGATCCACCTAATTAACCAGATTTTAAACGAATCTTGCCTCCAAGAGCCCACTTAATTGAACTAACCAGGTAGGTCTTAGGGGACTGATTCTTGAGAATATACTGACTCCAATAGACTGAGAAATTAAATAATCTGCTGCGACTGGGGCCGAATGGAACCTCCAATGACATGAAAAAACACACCAGCATTTGAAAGAAAAGACAACATTGATTACATCAACTGATTTTTTTATTCAAACACTGATATATTTGGTTGGCATAGGACAATTGTTGCAGCAGATGCGAGCTCCAATCAACCATGCTTGTTTGCTCTATGTTTTGTAACATGGTTATTATGAGCAATTGTGGCTATATTTGGTTCAATTTTCATTCTTTGTCATTCTTACCCAAGATGAAATTTTAAAATGGACAAGAATGGATAAAAATAAGTAGAATGACAAAATAATGCTATGAAACAAACACTTTTTTTCTAAAAATGAATTCTTTTCAGACTGATGAATGTCCTATGTAAAAGTGTTTTTGTAAAAGTGCTTTTGTGATTTCACAAAAATACTTTCATAAAAGTGTTTTCGTAAAAGTGCTTTTGTAAAAGTACTTTATAAAAGTGCTTTTATTAAAATGCTTTCATAAAAGTCTTTTTTGTAAAAATGCTTTTACAAAAATGCTTCCATAAAAGTATTTTTGCAAAAGTTCTTTCGTAAAAGCACTTTTATAAAAGTTCTTTTATTAATGTGCTTTTATTAAAGTGTTTTCGTGTAAAAGTACTTTTGTAAAAGTGCTTTCGTAAGAGTACTTCCACAATAATCTGCTAGTAAACATCTATGACAGTAGTTTTATAGACAGTTTCCTCAAAGAATGAAAATGAGCAAGATGGGGCATGATTATTTTTCATGCTGCATGCTACCTCAATTTTTGTATTGTGGATTGATTTTTCATTTTAAAAAGAATGTGGCTCATGACAAGAATTTTGTAACCAAACACTCTAATGTTATTCATTCTTGCCTGAAATGAGCAAGAATTAAAAAAATGAAGCCCAGAACAGTGAACCAAACATGACATGAACTGATTCATGTAATTCAATTAATAAAAGAATTAGTCCTTTGAAGGTGGCATTTGAGATGAATTTTGAATGCAACCTAAGTACAAGAAATCTGGTAAATGGGCCATGACAAATGCCTTTGGGTAATAATGTATCAACTCGATCAGATAACTCTTGCATTAAGCTCACGTCCTCTGCAACCGCTTACTTTGCTTACTCTGTGGGTGATACTTTTGGGCCGGTCATTAGTGGAACTAGTAAGGCATAAATGCCTCCTGTCTGTCAGAGATATCAAGTTTAATGATTTAAAATCTACTTAAGATAAGTGAGAATAATCATACATCACGTTTAAGAAATTTGAATATTGTCTCTAAAAATAAATAATTATCATAAATGCTATAATTTTCCAATTTATTTAGCTAGGAGGATTGTAAGAGGGTTGAGGGGAAAGTTCTATTTTCTATTCCATTAATGCTGATTGCTGGAGTTCCACATTGCTGCCAACTTGTCTCCAAACCTCAACTCCAATATTCAACACAATCCCCAGAAAGAAAAATTCCAAATCAGTGAAGGCTGTGGTTTGTTCCCTTGCTCTCGTATCCTCCCCAACTCATGAATTGTTACATCAACACTTAAGAAAAATAGACACCGTGCCTCTCAAGCTGGCTCATTCCAAGATAACACTTTTGTATCTTTTCGTACAATATTATCCCAACCCAAAAACCCTACTTCTCCCTGTGATTCCATTTTTTTATAAATAAATATTCTTTTATCTTAGATAACATATATTAAACATTATAGCTAATAATCTAAAAGAAATGATCCACATTCTGTGTAATATTTTAAGAATTGTACTTGGTATATAACTTTGGTGGTATTATTCTTTGTTCAACCAAAGATGTTGGCATGCCCAATTCGGTATATATAGTGCAACTTGCAATACAAATATGTTGCAGAAAAGGAAAGAGATTAAATAACATGTGCTCACAGATTTTCTTTATTTATTAAAATTTGGACACCCCAGTTGCTCAAAATTGAATGGCCAAACAAGATTCATGTAGTCAGCCTCATGTAATATATAATTAATGGTTTAAGGCTTATTCAAAAGAGTTCATCACTTCAGAAAGCAAAAATTGTTTGATGGGGTGGTTCAAATCATGTAACCCCAGTGATCATTTAGGCCTTAGCTAGAGACCTAATGGGTTTCACCATAAATTGGGAATTGTATTTATTTATAGTTAATTTATATATATATATATATTTTTTTTTTTTTCTTTTTATTACTTTTGGGGAACATGAATTTTCCACGTGGAATTCTAGTTTGAAAGAAAGAGGGCAAGGTGTGTACTACGTAGGGAATCTGCCAATGGCAAGCTCCATTAATGGTGGTCTGAGTCGGATGGCATTTTTGGGTGCGCACTCGCGGCTCCGCACCCCTCCCGGCCCCCTTCACCATCTTTTCCAACCCAACTGTTCCTTCACCTATATATTCCTTACTTATCTTGTCTTCCTATATACTTTATATTCTTTCTTTATTTATTTATTACTATTACTATTAATAAATGTGATTTTATGCATGGGCCCAATAAAAAGTAATACGTCCAGTCCGATGGTTATTATGATCAAAGAATCAAATAGAGGATATTAGTATATTCCCAAGTTCTTCAGATAGGCCCATCACTTTGATTTTGTAGAAAATCTAAGACTTCGTCCACTCCAATTAGTTAAAGATGATTCCTGGTATAGGATTCCATCAGATGACCTAATTTGATGTTGAATACCCACATGAAAGAAAGAATCTCCTGCACTTTGAATGAATTTCAAATTCGTTTCTTCATCTTTCTTCTTTTATTATCTTTTAATTCCTTGAATTATATATATGAGACAATTAATTTTGGTCTAAATGCATGAAAGAAAATTTTCCATACGATTACAAAATTTTCTGGGTCCTTCCTCACTCAGTACAAGAGGTGTTGCCCGCCATGGACTTCTTGGAGTATATGCCCTACTTTGCATCTTTCACGTGTTAACCTTCCACAATTTAAGGGAAAGCGCTCAATCTCGATACAGGATTATTCCGATGCTCACAGTACCAATATTGCAGGAACAAACATCAAGAACCACCAAAAACTTATAACGATTTGAGGAATTAGTACCGTATTCCTTTCCGTTTATTATGCTTTGTCTATCCAACTGAGTATTTTCACTATTTTTTTTTCTGAAATTTGTTCTAGTTTTTGAGAACTAAATCAGTTGTTTTGAGTATTCTATCCGTCAAATGGCTTTAAGGTGAAGTTATAGGTGCGTTGGGGTCGAAGCCGCCCTCTTGGAAAATTTGAAGATGACTTTATTGGTAGCACAGTCTTCGATCTGAGAACTGGTTTGAACCGCTGTAATCTCATTGAGTCATTGTATATTCCTTTGTCCCAATAGGAATAAGATGAACAGAATATTTGAATAATCCAAGAATAATTCACTGATAAAACTATAAAAAGAACAGAATATTTGAATAATCCAAGTATAATTCACGGATAAACTATTGTAAGATGGAT